CCGTCGCGAACGCGGCGGAAGGCGGCGGCGGCTGCAGCTCCGGGTCCCTCATCACGCCGCCCATCGTCTACCCCGTGACCAAGGACATGCGGCTCTTCCACGAGGAGCAGTTCGGGCCCGTGCTGCCCGTCGCCGTCTTCGAGGACCTGGCCGAGGTCGACGGCGCGCTCCGCAAGTCCTGGAACGGCCAGCAGGCCGCGATCTTCACCAACGACCCGGCGGGCGAGGCGGCCACGTGCGTCGACATGCTGGCGACCGTCGTCGGGCGGATCAACGTCAACGTCCAGTGCTCGCGCGGCCCGGACTCGTTCCCCTTCGCGGGGCGCCGGTCCTCGGCCATGGGGACCATGTCCATCGCGGAGGCGCTCCGCGGCTTCTCCATCGAGACGGTCCTCGCCTACCCGGCGAAGAGCGCGCCGACGAAGGCCGTCGTCGACGCCGCGGAGGCGACGAGCGCGTTCCTGGCGCCGCTCGTGTAAGTCGGAGGTAAGGCCGCGACGACGTCCGGCGCCGGCGTTGAAGGAGGGTTGAAGGACCGCGAACCGAGTTGACCCCGAGTGTCTGAGAGCGTGTGTGTGCTGCAGCGTCGTGCGCGCCGACGTGCTGCCGTCAGGGGGCGTGCTGAACGTCGCCAGAGTGCGCGATCGACGCGCGGGTACCTGCGCGAAAGAAACTCCAGAGCATCGCCGCGCCGACGCCGCGCAGGGGTCCGATGAAGCGGTCCCTCGAGTCACCGCAGCCAAAGGAGGCGAAGCGACTCAAGCCGTGCCCCGAGATCAGCGCCGTGACTGTCACCAGTTCCGAGTGGCGAGGTGGTGAGTTCCAGCTGATCACATGGACTTCCCGGGGCGACGTGCCGGCCGTGATGATCCGTCTCTGCGAGAGCCTCGAGCATGCGTGGGGCGAAGACCTGCATGATGGGTGGCTTGGGATCGCCAACACAGGCTCGAGCATTGTGTCGGTGCCGAGGGGGTCCTTCCCGGGCGTCTTCTACGTTCGCGTCGAATCGGCGGCAAGCCGGAGCGTTTATTCGTACAGCGGGCCCATCACTCTCAACCGCGACTGCGTGCGGCCCAAGATACTGGACGTGGTGTGCGCCTGCACCGAGTGGGCAGGAGGGACGGTCCAGAGCGTCACGTGGAGCCACCAGGGCGATGTGCCGAATGTGCAACTCCGTCTTTGCAAGGCCACGGCGCAGGGAGGCATCGACCCGATCGAGTATGGCTCCGAGCTTCACTGGGACATCGCCAACACGAACTCAAGCAGCTTCATGGTGCCAGTGGGCTTGATACCGGGCGGTTACCACGTGCGCGTCGAATCGGTGGCGTGTCGCCGTTCTCACGCGTTCAGTGGGCTGATCCAAGTCGACCAGGGAGGCACGCCGCCGGCGATCCTGGACGTCGCGACGGACAGTGCCGACTGGGAAGGTGGCCAGCGCCAGGAGATCACATGGAGCTATGAGGGCCACGTGCCGACCGTGACGGTGGGCCTCTACGTGAGCGACTCAGAGAGGAGCATTTTCTTTGATGAACTGGTCGACGTGCTTGATTTAGAGATTCCCAACTCGGGCTCGAGCTTGATCACCGTGCCATCTGGACTACCGCCGGGCTCCTACCGCATACGAGTTGAAGCGTCGCATTCGAGCCGCGTTTCTGCATTCAGCCCGGATATCCGCATCGATCAAGGCCGCACGCCGCCCGCGATCTCGGACGTGACTGCGTCACAGCGCATCTGGCACAGTGGGTCGCAGCAAGCTATTACCTGGAGCTCCCAGGGTGAAGTACCTCATGTGTCGGTCAGCCTTTGCACGAAAAACACGGCATTCTTACTCAGGGAAGAGATCGTCGAGTGCTTCTGCTGGAAGTTGGCCAACACGGGTTCTTGCTCCGTCACCGTCCCTTCGGGGCTCCCGCCGGGCGCCTACTCTGTACTCATCGAATCGAATTCGAGCCGCAGAATCAAAGCATCCAGCGCGGACATCCTCGTCGACGACGACCACCGCGAACGGTGCGTCCAGTACGCGCTCGGACTGCTCGGCCTCCGGCGGCCGCGCCGCCTGCCCTACTCGGTCGTGAAGAAGATCGCCGTCATGGCGGCGACGTAGTAAGTTTTGTGTTGGAAGGGCGTCGCTCAGCTCTCTCGAAGGTCTGCACGACGCCCGACCCCGATCGCATCCGTGGCGCGATGGTGTCGGGTGCCGGCTCGCGGCGGCGCGTTCAGCCCTCTCGAGAAACCGGCGACGAGAAGCTCTTGCCGTGCTTGCACGCCGGTCCCACGCCCTGCCACAGCCGCGACCGAGGTCCCGGTCCAGCCGTCTGCAGCACCGCCACAGCACCGCCATGGCCGCCATCGCGTCGCTCAACTGCAAGAGCAAGGCGAGCCCGGCGAACACGCCCGGCGCCTTCGCGACGGACCCCTGCTTCTTCAGCCGCGGCGCGCACACCT